CATGCCCATTTCCTGTTCTCTGTGGCAGCAAATGAAGAATCAGCAACTTTTTGGAGTTTGGCGCGCATTTCAAGAAAAGGTGTAAACAGAGGCTAATTGGGGCATCCCAGTGGATTTTCGCGCAAGGCAGCCCAAACATACATCATTCATCAGAAGCAAGGCAGTCCTGGCTTGCACGCCAGTTTTTACAGATTTCTTAGTTAATTTGATTAATTAATTAGGATTTGTACATTATTTGGACTGTAACATTTAGACTATAATATTCTTTTATTCGGGACTGTATATTTATTTGGACCCTGCGGCAATGTATTTTCACAGATATATGCATGCCTCGATCTCGGCCACCAATCACGCATACCGATGCATGATGGCCGAGGAGTCGAAATGTGCAACTTAATATAGAATAAATGCACGTGTAAACACAACAAGAACCTAACTCCATCATGGATAATCCGGAGTGTCGGTGACTGGGGATGGAGACACGTTCCGTCACTCGAGTACGAAACGCACCTCGTTCCTCGTGCCCGGGCTAACTCCTATCCCGAACACGATGCAATATGCATGAGTATGCATGAATGTAACTAAAGACACAGCCTAGCATGCATAATGCTATGAAAATGAGATGCCTCAAAATGCGTGCATACGGGACGCAAATCGAGAAAATGACATACGCAATGCAAATGACACTGAAAATATGATATGGCTTACACTAACATGAGAGAGCCCTCAGCCACACTCGCATAAGAGCCGATGGATGAAAAGAAGTGTCTGAAATGCGTGCACAAGGGCACGCAAAACCGAGGCAATGGCATACGCAATGCATATGGCTAAAATGGCATATAGAATGCCACATGGACTTAAACTAACATGAGAGAGCCTCAGCCACACTCACATAAGAGGTCGATGGATGAAAATGAAGTGCCTCGAAATGCGTGCACACGGCACGCAAACGAGGCAATGGCATACGCAATGCAAAGCATGGAAAAAAGATATGCAAACATGCTAATGGCATTTCTGCACTGAAATGTGGGAAAACAGCCGCCGAAATGAGTGGCGAAAACACACCCGATGCATGGAATTAAACCAAAATGCAACATTGAGGTACATAAAATGGCTTACAACTATACACAAGCATGCATAATTGGTACATGAGATGAAAAGACAGAAGCAAGGCAGCCTCAAAATAGCATTTTACTAGTACAAATTATGGCAACAACAGCAAAAGATAGGCAACAATGGCATGCAAAAATGGCCCTAAATATGAGGTTATGAAGCAACTCACAGCCGCTGACCCCAACATTAGGGCCCTTCAACACATTGAAGAGGGGCCCAAAATAAGCCACTTTACAGAACTGTAAAACCTAAAACAAACATAGATATGGCTAAGCTCTTATGCAAGAAATGGGCAAAGGTGGCCAAAGAGGCAAGTGTATATGCAAAGCCCAAACTGAAAAATTCTCTTCTACAACATTGAAGAGGGACCAAAAATATGCATATTTATAGAACTATAAAACCCCAAAACAGTATACAAACATGCTAGAATGCAATGCAAAATGAGGCTCAAAAGTGCTATAACACCAAAGTCTACAAAAGTATTCACAAACGGCCAAAGAACCTAATGAAACATGAAGAATGGGCAAAATAAGACTATTTTAGTACTGTAAAAGGCAAAAACCGAAGCATAATAGGCTACCAAAAATGCAAAAAATGGGACCAAAGAGGATATAAAGGCAAGTATAGCATGGGAGTCTCAAACAGTGTTGAGCCCTTCTTCAATGTTGAAGAGGGGCTCAAAATAAGCCTATTTTTAGTTCTATAAAATGCCCAAAAATGGAAGCATAATGGGCTGCCAAAGCATGCGAGAAAATGGCATTCAGGAAGATATTGAAGCAAGTGCAAGATGGGGGGCTCAAACAGGGTTGAGCCCTTAATGAACAAGAAAATGAGCTCAAAAGAGGCCACTTTCAGTTACGGCCGGAGTTCAAAACACAAGCATGTATGGCTTACAAATGATACAAGAAATGGACCAAGAAAGGGGAAATGAAACTCACCCTTGAGACAAGTCTTTAGCAACTCTTGGCTTGAGTTTGTAGCACCCTTAGGCCGTGGAGAACACCTTCAAACTTCTGAATGGAGGATGGAAGGGTGGGGGTGGTGGTAGAAGAAATGGTGGTGTTGACTTGGAGGTTTTTAAGGAAATGAGAGGGATGGAGGAGGATTTTGTATACCAAGCTTGAAGATGAATTTTTCTAACCCTCAATACCAATGCTGAAGCTGGTTATAAGGACCAAAAGGAGGGGGAGCATGGAAGAAAGGGTGGGGGAAAAAGGACCAAGGCTTTCCCCCACAAAAATCCCCTGGATTGAATATTTCTGGGGGAAACAAACTTACAGCTGTAAAGTGCCACTTGCAAGAACATGGCCGGCCACCTCCCCTAGCCGGCCGGCTAGGGGTCAAAAGGTCAACTTGTTTTAGTGGCCGGCCACCACAAAAAGGTGGCCTCCCAGGTTCTCGCTGTCTCCTCATCACAACCCTGTGGTTCGAATTTGGAAATTGTAAAACAGGAGAGAGAATAGGACATTTTTTGGAGGGGTTCAAAAGGTTCAAATGGAATTTCTGGCCGGCCATATGATATTAGGATCCTCCCATGTGTGTACAACACAAATATGTGGTTTGGGGTTGAAGAAAGTGGCCCCAAGGTGTTCAACATTGGCTCGGAAGTGAGAAAAACGGGTGCCGGAGGGCGAAAATGGAATATAACTGGTTGCCAAGATAATTGCCGGCCTCCCACCCTCCAGTGACCTTCCTGGTGATGAAACAGAGGCACCTGCCAAAAATGAATGAAAACCGATGCAAAACGAATGCTCGGGGGCCGAAACACGCAGTTCGGGGTCCCGAAAATTGCCTGTTAAGCACCGAAAGTGGCGTTCGGCCACGAAGTGGGTTTCTCAGACCCCA